GGTTGCCAGGGAGGAGGCTCGGGCTCCGGCCCCGCACAGCGCCCGCGGCGGGAGGGAAGGAGCGAAGAAGGGAGGCGGGCGGGTGGCGGGGCGCGGCGCGGGTGTCCCGCCGGGACGAGGGGGCGGCGGGAGCGGGGGCACCGGTCCCTACTCACTCTCGTCAGGCAGCTGATCCAGCTCCGCCATCTTGAACGAGCCGCGCCGCTTTTTCAAAGGCTGCCTGGCGCGGGGCATTCTGGGGGAGGAGACGGGGCCGGGCGCGCGGCGGGCGCGCGCGCGGGGCGGGGCCTCCGCCCGCGGGCCGTGAGGGGCAGGAACGGGCTGGGCGGGGAGCGAAGGGAACAGCGCCGTCCCCAGCCCGGCCGGAGCGCAGGAGCAGCGTCGGGGAGGCGGAGTGCACGTTATAGTGCTTCCAGTCTGGTTCTAATTCTCTGCCACTGGCCGGGGCGCCTTCCACTAGACCAGGTTGCTCAGAGCCCCGTCCAAACTGGCTTTGAACGCCTCCAGGGGTGGGCTAGCCAGAGCTGCTCTGGGTAAGCTGTTCCAGTGTCTCATCACGCTCCCAGTAAATACTTTGTTCCTAATATCTAACCTAATTTCCCCCTCTTTCAGCTTGTACCCATTACTCCTTGTCCTATCACTACTACAGTTCCTGACAGAGTCCCTCTCTGGCTTCTTTACAGCTGTACTTCAGACACTGGAATGAGGTCTTCACACAAATTTCTCAGCCTGCTGTCATAGGGTAGGTGCTCCTGTCCTCTTATCCTGTCATGGCCCTCCTCTGGAGTTGCTCCAGCAGCTCCCTGCCCTTCGTATGATGTGGGATGAGGGAATGGGTGACTGGAAGCTCAGGATGGGGGGAAAGGGGCTGGGAGGTGTCACAAAGGGTCACCCCAAAGCAACTGTGCTAGCTTTGAGTCTTTAAACAATCCCATTACATTATATCCATCCTCCTTCAGCGAGTAACTACTTTTTGCTAAACTGTGTCTATTTCCCTTGTCACTTTTCGTGATTGCATTTCCAGCCCCCTTTCCAGGTCATTTTGAAAGATTGTTTAAACAGCCTTCCCTACCCTGAGCCCCCAAAGGGCCTAAGACACTTCAGTCAGAGCTTTCATACTGCACAGCTCCAAAGAAAGCTGCTACAGTAGACAGTTAAAAAGCACTGTAGGCACAAAACTAAAGAAAGTAGTAACAAAACACACCTAAATAGTAATCTGTGGCATTCCAAACACCAACCTCCCCAACCATTAAATCCTGCACAATTTTCCCCTTTTAATAAAACACTTCCACCACCCAAAATGCCTGACACGGACCAGACCTTCCAGGCTCAGTTAAACACCGTGTTAATGACACCAATATTTCTCTGTATTTCAGCTGTGCTCCCCTTGTGCCACGGGCTGTATGGAAATGCTCAGCTAAGACTGGCGACACTGAGACTTCCACAGCTGACAGAAGACACTGATCTCCAGCGAGGTTTTCACTGCTGTGCTTTGTAAACCTTGTCATCAGGTCTGGCTGCAGCGGTGCCCAGAGCCACCCCGGTGCTACAGCTTTCCCTGAGCAAGGGCTCTGCAAGGGAGGAGTGAAAAGTGTTCTACAACACAACCACATTTCGCAACAGTCCCTCAAGAGGGAAAGAGGAATCAAAATCAGTGCCTTTCAGGGTGTCTTTGTAGACTACAGATGAAAAAGGTGAGAGAGATTTTTCCCCTCTCCAAACATCTCCTGCCAATCATCTCACAAATTAATAGGTATGAAGGTAGAATTCCGCTCCCAACAGCACAATGATGATTTTTCCTTTATTTCATTCCAACAGCTGCACTTGGAAAATATTTAACAGAACCCATTACCATTCACTCTTTTGAAAGGGTAACAATTAACACTGTATTATGATTCCTTCCCTGAGCAAGGGCTCTGCAAGGGAGGAGTGAAAAGTGTTCTACAACACAACCACATTTCACAACAGTCCTCAAGAGTGTGAATTTCTACAAGGGAAAAAGAAATCAAAATCAGTGCCTTTCAGGGTGTCTTTGTAGACTACAGATGAAAAAGGTGAGAGAGATTTTTCCCCTCTCCAAACATCTCCTGCCAATCATCTCACAAATTAATAGGTATGAAGGTAGAATTCCGCTCCCAACAGCACAATGATGATTTTTCCTTTATTTCATTCCAACAGCTGCACTTGGAAAATATTTAACAGAACCCATTACCATTCACTCTTTTGAAAGGGTAACAATTAACACTGTATTATGATTCCTGGATTAAGAACCTTTTACATCTTGGCCTTTAATGAATGCTGCAGTATCTCTGTGTTCTGGTTTTTCGTTTGTCCTGTGCTCGCTGTTTCCAAGTCACACAAACCATTTACAATGGCCCAGCCAGGGCCATTGGTCAGCGTGCACACAAACACACAATGTTTTCAGTGCATCCTCTTCCCGTTCTGGCAAATTTGCAGTTTGCACTTGGGTGACGTGGAAATGACACCACTCTTCCGACTGGCAGGGCGACTGAAAACATCCGCCCTCGCTGCCAACAACCTGCCTGAGGTGCTGCTGACTCACCTGCTGGCACAGCTGGGGGAGGTCTCTAAATGGCTGCGCCGCTGCCATTCGCTCTCGCCAGGGTCACGTTAGGCAACTGCTCCTAACGGTGTGTGCTGAAATGCTGCAGAGCACTGCCCCCTCCCATTGCTCCTCAGCTGCTGCAGATGATGGTAAGACATGGGTTACAGCACCTACTGACCAATGCATTCACAGTCCTGTCAGCACACAGCAGGTACTGCTGCGTCCAGGGGACAGCTACGCTGTCATTTTCTCATTCCCCTAGGCAGGCCCTGGCAGTAGGAAGAAAAGCACAGACAGCTGGCAGAAAAGCGTGCTCTTTAGTCACTGAAGCACCTTCTTGTGAAGTCTGAGTCCTGCTGCATTAATCACACACTTTTTAACGAGGGGGTGGAGAAAGCAGTTTTTTCCTCTTTGAGTTCTTGGGAAGCCATTCCTTCTTCTCGCCTTGCCAGTCCCTGTATATCTCACTTCTGTAGAAGTGATCTGCAATGCCCACAACAGGCCCACATGCTAAATTCACACCAGAACAAAATAAAATCATCACAGCAATTCATCTTGGCTGGGACCTACATCTGCATTTCTTCTCAAAGGTGCCACTTCTTCTGCAAAATGACCATTTCTGGAGAGGCAGCCTGGCATTAATTTTAAAGTGAAAGCACACACAAGCTCTTGTTCAGATGCATGTAGTCCACAACAGTGGAAACTATTTTTATGGGTGTAACAGGAGCGTGAGTATAATGGACTAAGTTAGGGGCCTCAACATGTACATAAAAGCAATTCAGGCAAAACACTCTGGGATATAAATTGGCTGCAATAACACTTCAGCAGACGATTACATCATTATGTCCCCAGAATTCAGAGTGAGGTCTGTAACAGTCTCCCAGAAAGCAAGCTGAAGCAGAGACTTCAGTAGTTACAAACACTTCAGGACTCATTTAAGAACAGGAGTACAATTATTTATGGCATTGACAAAGTTTCATGTGTCCAGAGGTCTTTTTCATATAGAAATTATTTGTTTTGGGGTTTCCCCCCCACTTTCCTCTGATTAGAAACTGAAGGAGGGCAGGGGCAGAATATAATTGTTTTATGGCTAAAGTACTAGGATGGGCAACTCGTGCTTTTATTTTTTTTTTCTCAGACATTTTTTTCCTGCATGAACTCAGGCGAGTCACAAAGAATTTACACTGCCTGCCAATCAGTAAGCCTAGGCTGCCTTCCTTCAATTAACTGCACGGACTATCTTAATGTCTGTGAGCCACTGTACAACAGAGCCTGCAGCCATGCTAAATAAAGATAAAATGGTTAAATATTTATAAATTGCTGCTTTTGGTAGTTTTAACATTTAGATCAGAAGACATTCCTCAACATGTCTCCCCTGAAAAAAAGCACAGGATGTCATGGGACCTCATGTCTTGAAAACTTGTTTCTTTCAAGTGCTTTTGACAGAAATGGGACTGCCTGTTCATCCAGCTCTGCTCTGTGCTTGTACTGCCAAAGCAGGGCTTTCAGTGATTGTCACCACGCTGCTCCTGCCAGCCTGGCCCCGGGGAGAGGCTGTTCATCCACTGGGAGAGGCCGTTCATCGGCTGGGAGAGGCCATTCATCCGCTGGGAGAGGCCATTCATCCGCTGGGTCCGGCGGAACCAGCGCTCGCTTCCCAGAGAGAGGATCTGCTCCGCTCCAACAAGCTGGCAGCAGAAGCAGCGCCTGGACTGACATCAGATTTCACTGCAGGACAGTGACAGGGCTCTCCCAGTCTCCACAGGGCACCTGCTGCCTCTTCAGCAAGTCCTGTAGCTTTTCCTGCTGTATTTGTGCACTTGGGGACAGCTTGGGATGTACTTCCTTGTGCTGCAATTATAACTGAGCACTGTGTACACAGCACAAAGCACTCCCTGTGCTACTTGGGTTGGAGCAACAGGGAACTTTCAGCCACCTCTGAGGGAGCATCAAAAGCAGCTGCCCTCAACTCCTGATCCCAAACTGAACTGTAAACTGCTTTTTTAGAGGGGGGAAAATCATCTATCTTATAACTAAATTGAACAAGTTCTCATGTTCTCTTTCAGAGACTGACAAGATCATACTTAAGTGACTTAACCAAAGGGCTTTTTGGAAGCAAAACAATGATTAGCCACTGGTTAAGCCACTTAAGAGGCAGAAGACAGACTACTCTCCTCACTTCCTCTCAGAATCCATTATCAACAATCTCAATCAATTTTTTCTGTTGAGCTGTCCTCAAGCCATACAACTTACCCACTCCTTCTACATTTCCTTCTCTCCCTGAAAGCAGCTTCATTTTTCATCGATCACTCTTCATCCTCTTCTTATTCAGGGGTCCTGGGAAGACCTGCACCATTAGCACCCACTTTGGCTTTAACTCCTTTTACAAAAGGCCCTGGGACACAACAACATTTTAGGAAATAGATCTGCTGTTTCCACATAGGTTACTAAAGACTGAAGCCACCACTGTCAGAATGAGCTTGAACTGTCCCTGTCTTGGGAATTAGCCATCACTTTCCCTAATGCCTCAGAGAAATCAGTAACTTTTGAAGAGAACAATCTGATGTTCTATGGTTAAATGCTCCCATATTGCTCAATGACTAAAAATGAGAAGTAACAAACATCACGAAACATTGAAATTATCAGTTTGTATTGCTGTTTTGAGACAGGCATTTCAAGACCACAGACAGAGTAGCAACAAACCTCACTCCAGGTCCTGATGAACGAAGCTTGAGCCCCAACTCGACTTACAGCTTTGCTAGGACGTGAGTCTACAACAACCAACTTACATCATGTTGAAGGTAGGTATTTAAAGGAGGTTTATTGGGGCTAATACTAAATTCAAACAGCCACAAGCTTATTTTCCATGTTTACCACACCAACTGTTGACAGATGAAGTCTCAGTGGAAAGTCCAAATTTTAATTTCACCGTAACTTCTTGAAACATGACTACAGATTTCAATATTTGGCATTTGATCCTCGAGAGAGATATCACGTTTGAGAACATTCTACCAAATACATTTAAATTATGACTCAAAACCAAAACAATTTGGAAGTTTTGAAACATAAAACTGTTAGTATGAAATTAGCTTTTATTTTTTTTACCTCAAAATAAATGCACCTTTATCATTTAGTCAAGTGAAAACTGAAAAAAGAGTGTCTTAAAGAAGGGGGAACCTTCATAGAGCAAGTACCACAAATGTGCTCAAGTTCCTTCTCCTGCTCTTGCCCAGCTCTGTTTGACTAAGAACACCAGAATAATTTCTTTTTTTCTCTCTTGTCAGTTTGGTCAATTAAAAGAAACACTTAAAGCACCAGAATTAGAAGTGGTATAAAACAAAACCAGGTACTCGTTCTCATCAGAATTCAGGTCCATGTATTGCCACACTTTTTATATAAAAACTTTCACTAAGTGTTGTACTAAATAGGATTTAGTAATTTCTTCTGCAGTTTAGCTCCTGATATCTTGGTAAGAGAAGTCAATGCATAAGCATGTCAGAAGTCAACGCTATAGTGTAACTACAGTATAACTCTAACAGGGCTTCTAAATACTGTTCACCAGAGTGATGTCTTATAGTTGAATTTCAGTTTCAACAGGTACTTCAGATTTACCTGAGCAACATCATACACAATATATCTGGGAAGAATGTTAAGGAATAATTACAGTAGTTGATATTAATGACACAGAAAAACCTCAAAACACAGTGAACTTCACCTTTGAACTTAAGTTATCATTCAAAATGCCTGTGTGATTAACCAATTCTAAGAGCTCAAACCACAAAGCTTTAAATATGACTTTTTCATGAATCTGAAAATGTTTTATACAATAGCTAGGAACAAGCAATTAAGGTCTGTGGAGAACAGTGCAACAGGAATCCTGAGTGACAGGCAGGTGAACTGAGATACAGGGCTGTGGCTCCTGAAAATTATTTTTTGTCAGAGTAACATACATCTCTCTTGATATCTAGGCAGAAGAGTCATACAGCTTAAATGAGAGCTACAGATTCAGACCCAGCATTTACAATTGTAATTGCAGTTCTATTGCTACCTTCCAGCACAGTCATTAATGCCTTCCTAATTTCCCACTAAAAAAACCCAAACAGGAATCACAGAGAAGAGCTCTACAATGATTGTCAGTGTTTGCACATTCTTATTTTTCCAGAGACAGTCCCAGCTCATCTCTTTGTTTCACAATGCTTTAGGCCTCCAACTTACCTCTAATCCCAAAGTGCAAAACAAAATAAATACACATCATGTCATCTCAATGAGTTAATATCAACTGATTATAGCTCATCATCTGACAGATGGTGTATTTAAGAAAACTCAAGATAAAACCAGTATTGCCATGAGTTGTGTTGCCCAGACTCCTCATAGGAGGAAAGCTCACCAAGGCCAAAGGCAGTTTCTGCAAACCCAAAGTTTGCATTACTGGGTTACCTGCTTCACTGGCAGTGAAGAGAGCCAGCTGGACCTTAGACATCACTTATTTGCATTCTTATGACCTCTTGTGGATTTAAAGCACTAATTGATTTGGAGGAACTTCTGCCTGGAAAGAGACTTAATGGCTACATCTCTGCTTGGCATTTGGGACATACCTCAACACTTGCAGAGGTCTGGGGAACTCAAAAGATGTGCTGAGAGAGTGCAAGAGCACAGAGCTGGCTTCCCCACCTCCTCCTGGCCAAGCTGGCATACCACAGCACCACGAGGGAGAAATCAGACTGGAGTGATGAGAAACCACAGGCTGCATTCCCCTCTCCTTGTCCTGGCATATCTCTGGGCATGACACTACAGCAGTTTTGCCTGATCACTCCAAGAACTTTTGTTCCTGTTGGGGAACAGCTATTGGAATGTGTATTGTTTCCTTTTTTTTTGCAGAATGACAATTTAAGTGCAGCAACTGTAAAAATCATCCCCCTTGCAGAAGAGATGGTCTGCAAATACTCCCCAAAGCAGATCTAAATAAAACCAAACAAAACACAGTGAGGCAAGACTCCTAACTGGCCTTAGTGAGGTCCTGCAAATGCAGTGACACTCAAACACCACGTGCAGCCAATGTAACAGCAAAGGATACTCATTATACAGAAGACAGGTATCATTAATTCCTGTGGAGATCCCATTCCCTAAGGGAACCTCTACACCACCAAGGGTGGTCGTGGCTGTGGGATCAGGAGCAGTTTTGCCCAAGCCTAGAAAGAAAAAACAACATTAGTTACAAATCTAGGAAGGAAACACAGACTTTGCACAAAAAGAAAATGATCCAGCCAGCCAAATACTACTTCACATATACTTTCAAATCAAGTGTAGAAGTATCTTCAACAGAACATGAAAAATACTGTTTGTTTATTCAATTCAGCATCACCATATTTATGGCAGTTGTACTCTGCTACATTAAAAATGAGAATTTTAAACTTTCAACTGCTAATTGTCTAATCTATATGATCAAAGCTAAACCAGAACAGATTCATAGCTCTCATATCCTAACTCCATTAATGAAAACATGCACATTGCAGCATTTTCAGACAAGTACAACAAACCAATTCTTATTCTCATTAAAATTTTCAATATAAATCTGATTTAAGAACATAAGAACATAAGTAATATGTATAGAAAAAGGTGCAATATCACTTTTTATTCTCTTTTGGGCAACCTATTTTTTAAGCCTCTCAAAATTAACAGTTTAAGATAAGCCACTCATTACTGAAGATATTTTTCTTCAATCTCCCATATCTTGCTACAGAAGACAGTCATGATTACCATTTCTTTTGCTTGAGTTAGACAGTCAAGTCTCTTCTCTCATCTTCTTTTTCAATATATGACACTTTTTGCAGATAGAAGTGTAATGAGAGCAGTTGTTCCATCTGAACTTTTATTTCTAGCTTTTCCCTTCTGTCCAAGCTTCTAAGCCACTTTGAAAGCTAAACAATGACTCTTCTGATCTATTCATCTCTCTTCTAAAATACCCAGTATTGTTACGATGAAAGCGAGTAAGAAGTTGGGGGAATGTACTTTATATTTTCTCCAGTGTACCATCAAATAGAAGTTTCCTCCTGAACTTCAGCACCTTCAGTCTTAACACTCAGAGTTATTAACTTGCATCTTAAAACACCCCATACACATCCTGATGCAACTGAAGGGCAACATTATGCAACTTCTTAAAGGAAGTACAGCTAAGACGTGACTATAGCTCTCTTAGCTGAGCACCACAACCAAGTCTGCCATCAACTACAGATTACTAATGACAACTACTAATGCTTACCTTTGACACTGTGTTTTCCCTTGGGCAATTTTGTGATGTGGGAAGCATTCTTTAGTTCGTACCTGGACAGCACAAAGAACACACAGAAGAACTTTACATTAGTCTTAAACTATCTTAGTGAAAAAAAAATCACAAATTTTTCAGGCTTTAGTTTATGATGAGTTAATGTAAAGATAATTCTAGTCTTCTGGAACTCAAACTTTCTTTGTCTTGGTTACTAATTTTAATGATGTTAGCATTTTGTACAAGATTCAGCTAGATCTGCAACAATAACTCTTACTTTAAGAAAAAGCAGATCTTGTTTCTGAAGAAAAAACACATGCTTCTTCTTCACACTGAAGAGAAGGCTTGCCATCTTAGCATCACCTTCTATGAGGATGTATTAAGCACATCTGGCAAATACTCTTTGTAAGTTACGTACATATTTCCAAGGGCGACTTCTCCCAGTAGCACTAAACCTATGGGATCAGCTTGAGACGTGTGACAGTAGTTTGCACTCTTGGATACCATGTCTGCAAAATAGATGCCCTTCCCAAACATGTAGCCGGTCTGCAAGAAGGAAATAAATGAATAAGACTGAGGCAATAAAATAACCCAAAGGCAGCACTGAATCCACCTGGCTGGGCTCCCAGAAGAGCAAAGCTGCAACGCAAGCTCTTGTGGACATCAATGCGCAACCCACTTGGGGGCACAATGCTGTCTAAATGGTGGCAGATAACACAGGGCCCTCCCCACACAGAAATTCTCTTCTTTATAGGTTGTCCCTGCCTGTGGCCATCTCTGGGCACAGGGATGCAGGCAGCCAGAGAAGCTATTCCACCCACCACAGGAGCCTCAGGCGGAGCTATCCGCAGACCCTGCGAGAGGATGCCAGCGAAGTTGGTGGTGCGGGAGCCGTGCCACAGCAGCTGGCGGTTGTGGAGCTGCTTGAAGGGCTTGTAACGCTGGCTCTCCCCCTCACGCTCAATCCTGAAGATCTTCAGTTCGCAAGAGGATAGGAGGAAAAGAAGAACCAAGGAAATAAACCATTAACTTCATGCAACTCGTCAGAGGGGAGAAAAAAAAATCATCCGATCTGCAATGTACATTGATCTGCTAAGGAAATTGATCGGGATGGGTTTTAGTGTTTGTCAGGCTAGCAAGAAACAGGTAGCAGCAATCATGCAGTACTTGTTATTGATTACTTCTCCACCTTTTCTTCTGCATTTTCATGAGGCTCTATTTTTCTGAAAAAAATCATTCAATGAACTAAGGCTCAATTTCAGATGATTACTCCTCCGCCTTCTCTCTGAGGCAAATTAAATTAAAATAAAAACACAAAAGCAAAAACACCTCATTAGCTTCATCTTTGCCTAGACTTTTGCTATTCTAATTAAAAGAAAATGTTCTATCAAATCATTTCTTTAACAGAGAAAACTGGGTAAGCTACTCAAAAATATAAGGCAATTGCAAACAAGCAAGTCAACTTAGGAGAGTCCATCTTCCCAAAGATAAACCCCATTATTGCCCAGCTTACATCCACAACTTTGAGGTCATATGCAT